CACTTATATAAATATATATATATATAATTGTAAGCGATTGAAAAAAAAAAAAAATTGAAAAGATTTCAAATAGACTAACAAAAAAAAAAAAAAAACAAACAAAAATGTCTAGACTGATGATCGATGTTTCTTTCGATCGAATAAAAAATAGCACGTGTTTCTTTTATATCTTTTTGTTTGTTTGTTTCTTCTTCTTCTTCTTCTTCTTCTTCTTCTTCTTTCTTTCTCACCCATTTAAAAGGAGTACTATGTAATCGTATACAATTGGTTATGTTTCTCAGAGGATATACATAAATATGTATATGTATATGTATAAATACATTAAATCGAAGATTAGAATTAAAACGAAATGAAAATTTTCTTTTTTTTTTTTTCATGAATTTTGTTTCCCATTTTTTATTTTTTTAATTATTTTTTATAATAATAAAAGATTATTACTCCTCTTATTGCTATTTATGAATGTTTTAAGGATATATTTACTTTATTTATTTATTTATTTAAGTTTTGGCAGTTGATTAAGTATTGTAGAGAACTTTTTTTTTTTTTTAATTATTATTTGATATTTCTGAAGGAATTGGTTTCGAAATGATTAATTAAAATTACTTTTGATAATATGCATTTAGTTTCAATATTCGATCGAAACTTTCTAATTTGTTCTACGCCCAATATGAAGATTAAATAATAATATGGAGGGTAGAGAGAGGAGGTAAGGAGGAGTATCATCTCGTATGGGAGGTAAATTTGAAAAAGTGTCCAGCGTATGATATAAATAACAGTTCAACAATCTTCCACAATGGCGCTGACGTTGACAAAAGGTATGATATTAATGTAACAATTGTAAACGAATTCAAGTATACCTGAGTTAAAATAATTTAATATTATTGACGACTAAAGTAGTTAATTATTGAACATTTCAATTACTTGCGTAGTACAAAATAATGTAGTAAAATATAACCTTAAAGAATTATTATGAGAAAAACGTATAGCTAGTGTGATTTTATTTCGTGAATTGTGAATAGTACGTTTATTGATTTTTTTATCATTTAATTTTATGAAAAAGTATTATGAATAATAACAAAACAGTTATGAGTAAAAATTTGTTTTGTAAAATTTGTATTCTTTGTTTATTTATCAATACTATTTTAAATAATATTTGGCGCTTTCTTTAAAATTTATCTTGAAGCTACTGTGGCGCCACCTTAATTGAATGCATTACGATGGACACTTTTCATATGCACAAATGATACTCCTTACCTCTACCCTTCATATTAAATAATAAATAGCATTGAAATTATTCACAACGTTTTCCGATTTTTTCTTTTTTTTTTCTTTTTGCGAACAATCATTTTGTTTTGATATATATTTAATAATTCTATTAATATACATACACGGTGTATCCGAATTTTTGCGATGAAAGTTTTTCAGAACACCACACTTATATAATTTGATAAATTAATTATGGCAGCTTTCGATTGAGGACACTCAAACTGTTCGTCAAATATTTTGAAATCATTTGTTTTTCTTTTCTTTACACCTTTCCTTTTTATTATTATTATTATTATTATTATTATTATTATTATTATTATTATTATTATTGTTGTTGTCATAGTAGTTGCTAGTTGTAGGACGAAAATAGGATCAATTGATCCTGATGTATATTGCTTCTCTCTCTCTCTCTCTCTCTCTCTCTCTCATCAAATCAGAGTCAATCATTTTATATTTGTATTTCACATAACGAATCCAATAAAAACGTATTTTTCCTTTCTCAGTATATTTTTTTTTTCTTCTTTTTATTTCACTCACTTTTTCTCTCTTGTAAATGTGAAATAAAACATATACTGTGAGATGATCGTAATTATTTGATTTGATTTTTTAGTTTTGATTTGTTTTTGCTTTTTGTTTTTTTTTTTGTGTTATTTTATTTTGTTCGTTTTAACTGAATTTCTTTATATCTTTTCATACAAAATAAAATATCCAATATACAGCATTGAATAGCATGAAACTGACAGGAAATATGATTCTCGAGTACTTGTCGATCACGTTAACGTCTTTGATTTTTGGCATGGACACGCGCAACACCGATGCACCTCTACGAATTGCGTGTAATACCTGTAACAATTAATAATAATAATAATAATATTACAGAATATTTAAATAAAAATTTATTATTTATTTTTGCATTTATTAGCTTTAGATATTTTGTTTTGTTTTGTTTAAAAGATGTTTTATTCATGTGAATAATAAACAGAAATAAATGTCTATTTTGTATTATATTTTTTTTTTAAATTCTAATCAAACTAGAGACTGTATTATAATATATAATATATAATATTTAAATAAAAAACTATAATTTGTTTTTACCTATATTAACTTCGATATTTTTATATTTATATTTTATTTATTTATTTAAAATATAAATATAAAATTTATTCACATAAATAATAAACACAAATAAGTGTGTAACACATCTTGCATATATATATATATATTTTTTTTTAAATCATAATTGAACTAAAAATTATTATCAATTTTTAAATTAAAAAATTTAACAACCAATTTAACAATGTACTTTAAAATGTTTACATTGTAATTGGTATTATTGTAACAAATTAAATATTTTCATTTATATTCTTTTGTGTTCAACCATAACAGTGATGTAAATATAAACAGAAAAAAACAACATTAATTTTGATTGTTAAACGAATTACTTTTGTTGATTATGAATAAAAATAAAATTTGTTTGAAAAATTATAAAATCATTTCAATTACCTTAGGTTTATTTTGTTTTGGACCTCTATATCTGAGTCCACTGTTTCTACCATGCATATTATAAGCAACAGTTCTTGATATACGAAAACTAGGTGGAAATTTGGCTGGATCGTGATTTCTTCCTAGTCCAGGTGTTGAAGAAGTATTGATCAAACCTGATCTATTTCTAATACTTGGTAATGGTGACATTCTTAAATCCTGTAGTTCAATAATATCTGCATCGGTTGAACCAGGAAAAGGTGAGGTAGCTTTGCTTCCTTTAATAACATTCAAACATTCCAACTCATTTCGTTTATATCACAAAGGAAACCTTAAAATGTTGATTAACTAACCAGTTTTCGAGGTAATCACTTTTTGTTCCTCGTTATCCTTCTTCTTGCTTTTTTTTTTAGCCCTTGCACCCCAATAAGTGTAATTAACTGCTGCGTATTCTAATAAAGCGGCAAAAACGAATACGAAACACATAACTAGATATATATCTATAGCTTTGACGTAACTTATTCGTGGCAAGGAACTTCTAACACCTGTAGAAATCGTGGTCATCGTTAAAACGGTCGTAATACCTGAAAATTCAAATATTTCTATCTTATTTGCATCATCTTTATCTTATCTCTTTTTATTAATTTGTGTGTGTGTGTGTGTGTGTATTACCAATTAAAAATTCAGAATAAATAAATAATTCATTTTGTTTTCGTTTGAGACTCGTTTACAATCACAAATAGAATTATTTCTCAAGGGAAAAATGGGACAGAGATTTCATTTGATTTGAAAGTACAAATAATCTCATTTTTATCATACAAAGTAACCAAATAACGTTGAATACAACATGGTGACTAGTAAGATGTATAATATAATCGAGCATTGGAAAAGAAATTTTCTTTTACCCAAGGCCACTCTAGCACTGGTCGCTTCGTGATTAATCCAAAAGCTGACCCAACTGAGCATTACTATGAGTATGCTCGGAAGATAGGTCTGGAAGACGAAGTAACCGATATTCCGTTGGAGTTTGAAACTTAATGATAACCTTTGATAAATACCGGTAGCCAATTTTTCCTTCCGGTCATTTGTTTCGTAACCGATTATGGTAAATTGTGGTAATTCTGCTTCCTCAACTCCACGAACTGGAGTTTCCTTCCAATACATTACTACGTCCAGTACCGTGTAACCATCTAAATAAAAACAATAACAATAATAATAATAATTAAATCATTAACAGGTTATATGAATATAATGTACAATGATTGTTATAGTATTATAAAATTGCATCACAATATATATAAATTTATATATTGGGATCTCTAGCACTTAAATACGCTATCTGGTGGCTAAATTCCAAATTAGAGTAGATAGGTCGAATTGCTACGCCACGTGGGATCTCTAACACTTGAATACGCTACCTGGTGGCTGAATTCAAAATTAGAGTAGATAGGTCGAATTGCTACGCCACGCCCCTGTCAGAGATCCCAATATATATAATTTAATATTGGAATATATTTGATATTATATTTTAATATATTAGGTGGAAAGTAATGTCGCTTTTTAACCTCAAAATTCAAACAAATAAATTTGTCAAACAAGTTTTTATTATTAATCAATAATTAAATTAATTAATCAAGTTATCAACAATCATTTTCTATCTGATATGTGCAAAATTTTTAATATCATCAATCGTTTTTTGCATTAAAATAATTTTGATTAATATAAACATTTGACGTGTGTAGTAACGACCATTACTTTTCAGTCCCCCGTAATATTGAAATATATTTGAAATAAAATAAAAATAAAATGAAATAAAAAAATCTTTAAAAAAAAAGTAAAAATAAATTCACGTTAACCTATCAAAGATGGTACCTATCCATTCATGTTCTATTTACTGTAAATATTCATAGATATTATTCGCGTACCACATGATTAATTGTACGAATGGATTATATTTGCGGTTTTACCGACTATTACACATCCATTGATCACCCACAATATCCAATTTTGCCTATCTGATCATAGAAGTTATTAATATGTTATATCGTTTACAATTATTATACATTTAATTATTATCCAACAAATTCTAATTAACTCTGTGTTGATATAGAAAATAAACTTTGTAATGTAATGCAATAATAATATTCTCATAATTATATTATTCATGTTTGATAGGTTAATAAACATATGTATTTATGTTGAACTATTAACCTGTTAAACTATTTATGACACTAACTGTGTGTCACTTGTAAAAGATAATTTTCTTACGTCTCATTTTCTTTTTATTCATTTACGTAATTTTGTTATATAACAAAAATTATCTTTTTATTAACCAGTTAAGTGTGGCGATATGTGCGCAGAGTGCGCGCGCTCTGGTGTGTGTCGCGATAATCAAGCAAATGACGGATATAGTCGTCAAACACGCTTAACTGGTTAATAACCCATACGTATAATTAGACAAAATGAATTTTAAAGAAAAAAAAAGAAAAAAACAAAACATCGTTTTATAGTTAAAAATATATGAAAAAATAAAAATAAAAAATATATATATATATATATGATTAATATAATATTATTATTAAAAAAATGAATAAAATTGACACACGATTTTCAATTGATATACTCTCGTACAGCTCTCGATCTCTACGGTGCAATTCTGCGAATCGAGAGGATAGTAGTGCAGATCCATCATGCAGGCCAAGGTCGTAGTGAATCTCATGCCGTAAGTGATGGAACCGTCGCCGGATAGTCTGACGAGTTTGTTGCGTTCGGTTACGTCATGCAAAAAACTGCAAAAAAAAAAAAATTAAATAAAAATAAAAAATATCCACAAAAAAAAATAAAGTAAAAAGAATAATGGACGATTGTTCTTATTATTATTATTATTATTTACGAATAATAATAATAATCATCATCATCATCATCTATTTCTACATCATTTGTGTTTTGTTTCGTTAATTAAATCATGTGTGTTACTCAAGGATACTAATTCTTTTTTTTTGTCTTTGTTTTCCCTTTTTTTTCTTCTTCTATTCCACTTTTCTTTTCTTTTTTTAATTAAGTCAACTCTTATTGTCWTATAGAAGTTGGTTTATGTGTGTGTGTGTGTATGTATATGTATGTACCTGTTTTTATCGTTTGCGAAAAAAGTATCCGGGACCCAAATTTTTTCAGCAAAATCACCGCTTAGGGTCAAAATTTCTTCCTCTTGTGAAAATGCTAGTCTCTCGTCTTTCCAATATTGATTTAAATACATTGTTATTGTATAATCCTATAAAATAATTAAATTGATACATATATTTTTACCGATCTGTAATTAATTAATTAATTTATTTATCGTTTTTTCTATGATTTGGTATAGCGTTGAAGATAATACACAATTTGTTTATATTTTTTATTTTTAACCCATTGAGTGGTGAATACTTTTACCTAAAATGTTTTCTATAGGGAAATTTGAAATATTAAATTTTATTAAAAAACAAAAACTTTAATTATTAAATATAATTTATTATTAAACTAGGGGTGCTCCGCCACGCGTTGCTTTGGCTCACAATCAGTCTGATACACACGTCTTTAAGTTAACGAATTACTTTATACCGCCATCTGTTAGAATTTTATCGAACTAACAGAGATAATCATGACTCTTTGTTAATAAACAAATAATTTGCAATAGAATAATATTGCGATTATAAATTGAGATATTAACTGTCCTATCTTTCAAGTTGGATAAAATTGCACACAGTGTGCAAAATTTGATTAAAATCGGTTCAGTAGTTTAGGAATCCATTGCGAACAAACAACGTGACACGTAATTTATATATATATATTAAGAAGATATATATTTTATTTTTAATTATAATTTAATAATTAAAGTTTTGGTTATTGTGAATACAATTTAATACTTTACATAAATATTAACAAACACGTATGTAAATGTTTCGAACAATAAAATTAGTAATTTTTACTGAACGCATATAAGCGTCCATAACACTCAAAGGGTTAAAATGTAAGGAAAGAATTGATGATCATAAATTACGATAAAGCAATGATCAAATTGTTTTATTTAATATATAATATTGTTTATTTATTTTTAACTCACCATGTTGACTTCTGAAATAGCATCGAAACTTGCTATAGTTAAATCCATACCAACTAATAATGGTTCTCCTAAAAAAAAAAAAAGAAAAATATATAAGAAATATATTTTTCAATATAATATTATAAAACATGATAAAAAAACAAAAAAAAAACGATAACTATTATTAATAACTTTAATCCGGATTTATAAATTCCATTAGGGATTATGGTTTTAACCCCGTACGGCGTACAAGAGGTCTATCAAAAAAAAACCAGTTTCAAACGGATTTTAGTTGAATGAACTAGAAATTCATTTCACAAAAAAAAAAAAAATAAAAACTATCCTGGATTTGGACTAATACGATTTACGAGATAAGATACCCCTAAAGATAGGGGTATATTTATTTTACAAATTTATGTTTATATAACTTTAATATTATTATTATTATTATTTTTGTTCATATTATTTTTTTAATTTTATCTATGTTCAATGAAAGAAAAGGTACACGAATATTATTTTAGATAATACCTAATATCTATCTGTCTATCTATCTATCTATCTATCTATCTATATATATATATATATATATATATATGTATATAAAATACCTACCGCCAAAATTTGGCCTCAATCGAATGTCATAGCCGTCGAGTATTCTCGATATGGTTTGCGTGACATTTTCCAGTTTGTCGAACATTCTTGTGTCCTCCAAAGCAGCCCTAAACATATTTCGTCGTACGTTTCATTAACAATTACGATAAGAACAATTATACCATGTTTAATTTGTACCTTACAAAATTACACACATATATATATATTTTTTTTGTCAGTGTAATTGATGTCAAAGAAAACAATTATTTGATTAATATTAATATTAAATGGTTGGTGGTATTATTACGGTAATATTAATATTAATATTAATGGTGGTATTATAATAAACCCATGAACTTACAATTAAATACAAAATATAAAAAAATATATTGTTAACTAATTTTTACGATTAATTATAAGGTAATCGAAAAATTAAAGACAGAAATGAAATAAATATATATATATATATTCAACATAAACTTCCTCACATATGTATATAAATGTATATTTGTTACATTTATATTGTATATATAATGTATATTTATTTTATATTTTTATATAAAACCATTATATATATATATATAAACCATATAAGTATATAAACCATTCTCGAATCCATCTGAAGACACACACAAAATTTCATTAAAATTGATCCAGCCGTTTAGGAGGAGTTCAGTGACATACACACGCACAGAAGAATTCTACATATAAAGATAATGTATATTTATTTGATATTTTAATATAAATTAATTTTAAATATTATCATTGAAATGCTTGTATCGTAAGTGTCTCTTAATTATATATATATGTGTGTTTGAGGAAGTTAATGTTGAATTTAGTTTTTTATATGTGTTGGTGAAACCTTACCAAGCTATATGATGAGACAATTGCACAAGAAGAAACGTTAATGGCAGTCCACGCGGCAGCATTCTGCCGATGGTCGACGACCTGACCAGAAATGTTAGAAAAGAGTGAAGAATGTCATCTCTTGTTGAGATCTTTGTGCCACGACATATTCAACTTTCTGCACTTGCTGCAGGCTGAAATGAAACACAAAAGAAAACGATGCCGTCCCGTTTTTTTCTTCTTCTTTTTTTTTTTATTTTTTCCCCTGACTTGTCCTTGACCTCCGACCTCGCGAGGAGGTTTCTCTCTCTTTCTCTTTCTCTCTCTTTCTCTTTTTTTTTTTTCTATTTTTGCGTAAAAGCTTACACTTGTTCAGAATCGTATCTTAACAAGATTGTAACATTTAATTTATTTAATTAATTGTGTGTATTTATTTAATAAGAGGATTTTAATTGGATCATTATTTGTACATATATGTGTGTGTGTGGTTGTTTGAATATTTAGAAACAAAATTATATTTATAAAATTAATAATAATAAAATGAAACACTTGATAATATTTTATAGACATGTAATTAATGATATAAAATAATATTTATTATTTTAATTATAACAATTAATTATATTTAATTTATTATTATTAATTATTTTAATATAATAATGTAAGAAATTATTATTACAATAAATATTTAATTATAAATATAATATATAATATTATTATTATTTATTATTATAATTTAATATTAAATGGTTATTTTTGATCAAACATGATGTAAATAATCAACATTGAAAATAATTTCTTTTATTTATAATCTAAAATAATATTTTTTTACTATTAATAAGAAAATTTTTTTTACATATTTTTGATTTGAGTCAAAAATTGTTTAAATGGTTAATTAACTTTTACATTTTTTTTCTATTTAATACAAACAATATTTGTATTTTTTTTTTTTTTTAAATAACTTATGAAACGATCTTACCTGTTTACTCGTGACTGTCAAAAATGAGAAGAACCAACAGCAACAACAACAACAACAACAGCAATACGAATACTAGTTAATACTACTATTATAATAATAGTAGTCACTGTCAACGTGTGCACCAACGGATATCAAATTTCCACGTGAAAAAAAAGGATACTTCCTCGTCACAATTCGAATATCATCATAGACCCATACACCTTCAAGATCACGGTCCTTAAAGTACACACGCGATTTTGTAATTCAATATTTAAAGAAATCATTCTCAATTACTGACGTTTATTATTTCGTAATATTCAACAACGACGGCATTCACAGGAGCAGCAGCAAACCGTGACACGATAAATTCGTCAGAATATGACAGGAGAAATTTGTCGAACTGTCTGAATTTTATCGAACCGAGACAAACTCCTCCCTCCGTTCGAATTCTTTTAACCTCCTCTTCCTTCTCCTCCCYCTCCACCACCCCCCTCCACCCCCTCCCTAGTCCTATTATAAACGTGTGTCGTAACCTTTTATCAAACTATTTTTTTCTTAATTTTTTTTTTCTTTAATTCATCAACTTCAAAACCAATTTTGTCTTAACAATTTAATATAACACACGATTTTATCAAATTAAAACAATAAAATAAAAAACAATTGTTCTTTTTTTTTTTATGTAAATTGTAAACTGTCAAATTGTTTTTAATTTTTTTTATTTTTTTCTGTCAATAAAAGTCTGTCAGTAGTCAACTCGTATCACACAGTCTCTCTCTCTCTGTCTCTCTCTCTCTCACTTTTATTTTTTCTCTCTTCGTTTATCTCGTGGTCCATCGAAGAAGGAAAGAAGAAAATTTGATCTTCGCGACACGAATTTTCGAGGATACCAAAGCAGACCGTTCTAGCATCCCCCGCCGTTCGTGGGCATGGAACACAACCACCACCACCACCACCACCACCACCACTACTACTATCTACTATTACTACACTACCCTTTTGCTTTATCCTTTTACTTTCCTTCCCCCACTCTCAATTCCCCATCCCCACCCCTTCCTACTATTTGCTTTCTCATTCCAGTATTGTCTGTTTCTCCTTTTCCTTTTCCTACTTTCTCTCATTCCGTCTCGTTCTTTTATTCGTCTAATGGTGGGAGTGGGGGGGTTCGGGGGGTTGTAGAAGCGCAAGCGCTGTATATTTCACAATCCCTCTACCCTCGTTTTAAGCTCGACCTAGTGACACAACACCACGGACTCCTCTCGTCGTAGTCGAATTTCCAGACCACGCTGATCATCGAAACGCCATCTTCACAAGTATCCTTAAGATACGCTAGAAAGATGAGTCGTTAACCTTTGAGGGTTGTACAGAAGGGATGGAATAGATAGTGTGTTCGGAGGTCTTAACGATCGATCGATGATGCATTTTTCCAACGAAGTAATCGTCTATCCACTTCGGCGCATCATCTTCTTCTCATTTCTTATCTCTCTCTCTCTCTCTCTCTCTTTCTTTCTTTTTTTTTTTTTCACTGAGAGTAACGTCATCCTCTTCCATCTTTTTTTTTTTTTACTTCATTTTCCTTTTCCTCATACTCCTCTACTTTCCTTTACCGATTTCTCAAACAACCCTCCTCACCTATCTCATCCCATTCTTCCACATCCTTTTTTTCATTTTCTTTTTCCAAGGACAAACAAAATGACAATGAGAAAAATACTATGGAATATATTTCTTATTTTTCAACGTCTTATGATTTACTATTTCGTTTTTATTTATTTTTTTTTTATTATTATTTTCTTTTTAATTTTAATTTTAATATTTCTGTTCCAATATGTCTGCCATTCGTTCGTTCGTTCGTTTGTTGGTTGGTTAGTTTCTTTTTTGATAAAGTAACTGATGAAAATTTCTTTTTCTTTTCAACGTCTTATGATTTTCTACGATACACTTCGTTTTTATTTTATTGTCTTTATTTGGTTTTATTATTTTCTTTTTAATTTGAATTGTAATATTTCTATTCCAATATGTCTGCCATTCGTTCGTTCGTTCGTTCGTACGTTTGTTGGTTAGTTTTTTTTTTTTTTTGATAAAATATGATAATGATGAAAATTTCTTTTTCTTTTCAAAGTCTTATGATTTACCACCACCCATCACTTCATTTTTATTCTGTTGTCTTTTTGTTTTGTTTTTCTCTTTTATTATTTTCTTTTTAATTTGAATTTTAATATTTCTATTCCAATATGTCTGCCATTTGTTCGTTCGTTTGTTGATTCGTTAGTTTGTTTTTTTTTTGATAAAAATAAGATGAAAAATTGTGGTTTCAATAAGAAAAGAAAATCTTTATATTAAATTGATTTTAAGTGAAGGGTGTAAAAATGATGTTGAATTATTTTTATGAGTTTGTTTACATTCACCAAACGATCCAGTGACGATGAGAAAATTTCAAACGAGAGAATTGTTTTTATTCTCCTTTTTTACTTTCTTCTCTTCTTTGTTTTTTTATTTTTTTAAGATTCTATTCTATAGAAGTATCGTTTCAATAAGATACTTTTCATTTATCATTTTAAATTATTGACGAATTCCATTTTCAATATTTCTCAGCAAGTGTTTCTTGTTTTTGCAAAGACAAGAGTTGAAGTATTCTATTTTTGTTGTTGTTGTTGTTGTAATTAAAACTATAACCAACGACAATATTTTATTCAAAATGTACTTCGTATTATTTAAAAGAAACAAAGTACAAGACAAATAGAAAGATAGAATATAAAAAGAAATGTATATAATTGATCATAAATATTCAAAGAAAAAGAAAATGAGGTTATGTTTAAAATATACATATAAAAGAGAGGTCATGATTAAAATATACACATACGATGAAATTAAAATCAAACATTTTGTAATTTAAACTATTGAAATTAATTAATAATTGGTTAATAAAAAAACCATGTGTGCAGTGTCGGGACCCTTTGACGAATTTCAGATACCTGTGTAAACATATGTGATACCATAAAAAAGGGTAACATTCCGATATGCTAGATTAAGTATCTGTATGCATAGTTCCCATTACCGAAAACCATAGGGTGTACCTGTCGGTGGACTATGGGGTGTGTATCCTTATGCTATTGGTCAGTAAGATTTGTAAGCTTCTTCCCTCTCAAAAGGGGTGTAGGTGATTTCTGATATAAAACACGTGGAAAGAAATAAGCAATCTCAGTCGTAGAAGTAGAGCAGTAGCAGTCGTAGTGTCGTAGTTAGACATCAGTTGTAACAGTTGCAGTTGTATCAGTTGTAAGAATACAGTCATAGCTCATCTAAGTTGTAAACGTGAGATTGTGAAACTAATATTGTACTTTTTCTAATACATGTTTTAAATAAATATTATTAGTAGGATTAAATTGGGTTTATGTTCACCTCGCACTTCTCACTCTTTATAAAATTTTCTCTACATACATATGTTGTATATATGTATATATATATTGTAAAAAGATTGGGGTCGTGTCTAAACGCGGGAATCGCCGTGCGGCGTGTTTTTGGAGCTTGCGCGTCACGTCCTGCGAATTCGTACTTAAGAGCTTTAACGAGGGGGGTTGTAAAGCCCACGCGACTCTCGGCAATGGTCTGTCGTTTCATCGGTGTGTCTCGAGGCGATCATCAAAATTCAGCAGTGATTTTAAAGATTTCATTTATCTTTTCGATCTTTTTCTTTTTCATTTAACTTTTAACTTTTATTTTACTTTTTTTTTTTTTTCAAATACATACTTCTTCTTCTTCTTCTTCTTCTTTTTTTTCCTTTTACGAACGATTAAAAAACAAAACATAAACCGAACTCTTTTTTTTTTTTATACTTTCTCTCTTAATCTCTTGTTCATTTTCTCTTTTTTTTTTTATCAAAGTTTCTCAACAAAGTTTCATCATTGACAAGATAAAACGAAAATAACAAAAAAAAAAAAGAAAAAACAAGAAAAGAAAAGAAAAAGTAAAAAGAGAATTAAAAAGAAAAAAAAAGAAATAAACAAAAATTCAAAAAAAGAACAAGGAAAACGAACCAAAGTGACGAATCTCAATCATGAAATTGAACGTTGCGGAATTATCGATGTGAGTAATATAAAAAAAAAATATAAAAAAAATAAAAAAAAAAACAACCCCCCGATAAATTTCTCTCAAATATTCAAATGTTATTAAAATTGTCTTCTCTTTTTTCATCCCCTTTTTTTTTTTTTCATTCGCACACAATTTCATTCTCATCTGTTTTAATTAATATTTGATTTTTATTCAACAACCAAAACACGAAGAAACAAACGAACTAATTCAAATAAAATAATCGAAGATTTTATTTTGATCTTTATTATTAATTATTATTAATAATCCTTCCCACTCCACACACACAACCCTCCTCTCGAATTGTTGATCGATGCAAAGTAATTCGTTAGATTTGTTTTTTAATTTATATAATAATAATAATTAATATAATAATAATTAATATATTAATATAAATAATAGAAATAATAATAATAATTATAAAAATTATTTCACAATATAATTTCTTTAATTTAATTTATATAAGTATTTCATTAAATAATTAATATTATAATAATGTAACAATAATTATAAAAATTATTTATATATAATATTTAATCAAATAATTAATATAATAATATAATAATAATAATAATTATTATATTAATATATAAATAATATAATTAATATAAATAATATAAATAATATAAATAATATAAATAATAATAATAATTATAAAAATAATTTCACAATATAATTTCTTTAATTTAATTTATATAAGTATTTAATTAAATAATTCTAATTATAATATAAATAATAATAATTATAAAAATAATTTTACAATATAATTTCTTTAATTTATTTTTTATTATATATTATTATTTATATATAATATTTAATTACACAAAGAGTGTATATATTTATTTCAAAGGTATCATTTAATAGTTTCAATTATATATATATATATATATATATATATAATTAACATTTGAAAATGGTTAGAATATTATATCAGAAGATATATGTACGACTAATTTCTACGATTCAAAGTGTTTGAAATTACATAAACGTTTGCAGGGCAAATAGATTCCAATCGAAACAGGGCAAATATATTTTAAAAGGAATCGTACATTACAATGCTTCATTAACGTACTATCAAGGTTTGTTCATTCGTGCAAACTTTCATTTGTACGATATTGAAACATACACACACACACACACACACACATGCACACACCTATAGAAATAAATATACAACATATAGAAATATCCAAAGATAAAACGTAGAAGAAAAAGAGTGGGGGAAGAATAGGCTAACGAGAATCCGAAATGAAGGTCTGCTATTGGAAAACAAAAAAAAAAAACAAAAAGAAAACAAACGAACACAAAAATCAGAAAAAAAAGGGCCGAGTTCAAACGAACAGTCGTACGATTTCCAGAAGCAAATAATTATTATACTTATACCCTATGATACAACCCCCATGTATTATGTAATACATAAACACACACATACACAAATACACACGTTAGTTTCGTAATGAAACGAACCCCTGTTTGCAAAGAAGACATCGAAATTCAAACTTGTCAAGGAATCCATTGTGAAAATTTGTCTCGACGAAATGAAATACGCGGGGAAAAATATTTGAAACATATTGGATCATGAGTAGAGGGTGGAAGGGTGTGGGGGTGAAAAGGGGTATATCGATTTATCGATAGAAATTCAATGTAAAAACCAACACCGTTCGTTGAGGAATTTAATGGTGGTGGTTGGTGGTGGTTGGTGGTTGATTGGTGATGGTGGTGGTGGTTTGCACGATTTGATATCAAATAGATAATCATCCCCTAATATCGATAGAAAAAAAATGCGCATACGATCACGAGAATATGATGTAATGAGGCATAGTGTTCACTTGAAAGAATGACGCGAACACTTGCGGCAAATGTGAAGGTGCTGAATCGGCAGACAACGACGAGAGGGTACTTCTTCTTCCTCTTCCTCTTCCCTCTCATCTTTGTCCAACCCTTAATTGCATATCTACGGGGACCCTGCCTAAGATACATCTGCCCTTTTTTTTGAAATTGGAAAAAAAGGCCACCTTTCAAACAGAAGAGACAAATTATTTTAATTTATGTTTTACACACAATGTTGGTTTTGTTTTATATTTCTTTTATTATTTAATATTACTATAATTTATTTAATATTAATAATAATTAAAATTTTATTTAATTTAATCAATGAAAATTAAAATTACAATTTTTACATTAAATTTATTAATTTGTATTTTATACAAATACAAATATTTATTTTGATTTAATTAATTTTATACATTAAATATTAATTAATGTTAAAATTAACATTATATTAACATTATATATTAAAAATTAATTAACTAATTTTAATTTTATATATATATATATTATATATTAAATAATAAATTTGTAATAAATTTAAATGAAAATGAAAATTATAATTTTTATATTAAATTATTATATTAAATTTTACATTAAATTAATATTTTATATACAAATGAAAATGATATTTGATTTGTAAAATATTATTAATATTTATTTATTTGAATTTATTTATATTATTAATTTACTTGTATATTTTATTAATATTTTATTTTTGTAATCGATTATGTACTTCTATTGACTTGTTTATTTTATTTTATTTTTAGTATTTTAATGTACAATCAATAACAAAAGTTTAATAATGCATTTGAATTAAACTGATTTATAGGTTAACTTTACTTCTACCATTAACATCATGCAAGAGTACTAATTATGATACAATATCATCATCGTCATCGTCATCAACGTCGTCATCAAAATTTAATTCATCCGAGAAATCTTCCTCGTCATTGACAATTGGCAGATTATCCAGAGGTACAGTCACCGACATCGTTTCCAAAAATATAACCATGGTTTTGGAAAATCTTCTTATGAATTATGAGAACAGTCAACTGCCAACACACGGGAAAGGTATATATATTTTTATTTTATTCAATCAATAATCATAATTTTCATATTAATTAAAATAATCCTATTAGTTGGTTCGGAATGCCGTTTCGTTTTTCTTTTGTAAAAATGAAGACAATTTTTGCTTCGTGGTTAAACCTAAACCTTTCAAGTGGTCATAAATAATTGAATTTAATAAATTTAACCTTTCATCGATCTCATGTGTTACTATTTGTCAGTTTGCATCAATTAATGCCATTATTGCGTCAGCAAAAAACGAAACGACTTTTCGAACCACCTAATATTTTAAATTCTTAACCTGTAAATCGGGGAATTCCCCGATTTTAATTATTCAATTTTGAAGTGAAAACTTCTTTAGAATGGGAGTGATCTGAAAAGTAAATAAACGGAAAAGGAGCTATGTAACGAAGCTATGAAACGGCTGCCATACTAAATAATGAGAGAAAAAGAGACAAAAATAGGATTTAGACTGCGAGGGAATGAGACGGAATATAGCTATACAGTTTTTCCTATTCTCGGTCTCCTCTTTATGCTATACTTCGGACTTATACGGACTTATCGGAAAGACCCTACGGACTTATCCGAAAGACCCTACGGACTTATCCGAAAGACCCCACGGACTTATCGGAAAGACCCTACGGACT